GGATGCTGCTCTGCTGCCAGAGAGAGAGGGCTCACAGAGATGGAGGGGAGAGGTTTCTATGGGGGGATTCAGTGAGGAAAGAGACTCAGTGAGAGGAAGGAGGTTCCCTAGGGGAGGGGTCTCTGGAGGAAGCTTCGGGCTCAGATCTAGAAACCAGCTTAGGAATGCAGACCTGGCCAAAAGACCCAGTGCATCCTGCATCTTCTCTTGGCAGCCTCCACCACAAACTGCACAGCACAGGAGATCAAAGCACCCTGGGCTCTTGTCCCAGTGTGGGTGGGGCTCCAAGGACTGCCCCTGCCCCCAGGGACAGGTGTCACCTCCCTGCTTCCTCTTGATGTCGCTATGTCCGGAGTCCCCTCCCCGGAAGGTGGGGAGATTCTGCCTGGCTTGCTCTGGAAGGGAAGAATGGGGCACCTGCCAGCAGGAATGCGGAAGGAGGAGAGGAGGGGCTGTTCTTGGGGCTGTCCTGGGGTGCAGGGACAGTGGGAGCATGTGCGCCTGTATGAGGATGGCTGTGTCTGTTTGGGCTCATGGCCCTGTGTGTGCAGTTGTGTGTGCCTACCCCTCACTCCCACAGGCTGCCCAGTAATTTTCCCTGACTCCCTCCTGCTGTGGTCAGAAAGCCGATGACCAGCACAGTGGTCGACATCTCTGGGCTCTGAACTCACCCCTCAGCTATGCCCCCAGGACAATGGGGTTCTTTCTGCACAAGATGGGCATGAGGAACCCTGTCATGGACTTGTGACCTGAGAGACAGGGCTGCCCCAGGGCATGTCCCAGCCTTGGTCACACTTGTGGACATTGGCTGGCCTTGAGCCAGGGTGGACCAAATAGAAAGAGAGGCTCTCCTTCCTGCCTGTCCCAGGAAGGCTTCCTGGAGGAAGGGTCAGTGCTCTCCCAACTCCGTGAAATGCCTACTCGGGTCCCGGTTGGCCTGCATGGGGCTCCCCTCGGCACAACTGGGAGCCTGAACGGGCACCTGCCTGAGAGCCGACCAGTCTCCCAGTGCCAACACTCAAGTGCCTTGTGTGTAAACACCCATCAGAGGGCCGGGAGATTCTGTTAGAGGAAGAATCCAACCCAGGTCTGAGCAGAGAGGGCACTGGGGTCTGGAGGAAGGAGATCTAATGAGAGACACGGCGTCTGCTCCCTCCCTCACTAAATCCCCCACTCCTCTCAGAGACCACCTCCTACCCCCCAGTGAAGGGAGGTCACACACACACACACACACACACACACACACAGAGTTGTGTTCAAGGCTACCCGGAGAAGAATAGCCTTTGAGGGTGGGAGGAGGCCTAAGAGGAAAGGGCCCATCCCGACAAGAGAAAACTGGGAGGGCTTCCTGGGCTGCAGGAAGGGAGGGAGGGGGGAGTGCTCCCGCAGGGATTGCCTGGAGACACCTGGTAGGGGCTCAAGGGAGGGTGAAGGTGCAGGGAAGTGCTTCAGGAGCACCCCAAAGACTAACACAGAGAGGCCAGTTTCTGTCCCAAGGTAGCACAGCACAGGGCGAGGAAAGGCACCTGGTGTTAGCCCAGGTTTCTGACTTGAGCCCAAATTCCCTTCACATCCTCTTCTCCCCCTTCCCCTGCAGCCCACACCCCTGGGCGGCCGAAGAGATCAGTGGGGGGCAGGAAGCGCCGTTCTGGACAGCTGTTCTGCGCAGCTGCTGGGGCTCTGGGGGCTGTGGCGGATTCGATTTGATTCAGGCCCCAAAATAGCCATTGTAGCAGGAAGTGGCCCCCTCCCCTCACCCCTCCAGGACATTTCATCCGGGGACCGAGTTGACACCTTAGAGGTCCAGCCCCCTCCCCTTCTCCTGCGCTCACCCCCTAGTCTCCGGAGACCCACTCCCTTTTTGCTCCCCTTAACCCCCAGCCAGTCTCCCCCTCGCGCCTCCCCTCTGTCCAGCGCATCTCCACACTTCCCTCCTCCAGGAAGCCTGCCCTGGTCACCCCGCCCCCACCGCACCAGCTCTTTGCCCACACACGATCCCAGCCCCTCCCCCACCCTGCCCTGCTCTTGGGGCGAGGGGGCTGGGGGGGAGTCTAGGGCCGGGGCCTGTGGCCCAGCACGGGCAGGCTGCGGAGGGCACACAAAGACGCGGGCTGCCCTGGCCTTTGATGAGTAATCGCTGTTCCCTGGAGCCACGATTCCACTTGGCCGCTTGGGCCCTCTGCCCCCTCCCCCATCCAGCTCCTCAAATAAGACACGTTTTTGTTCTGAGGACACAATGCGAGAAAATGTCACCCAGGGGGCGTGCCCCCTGGCCCCAGCCTGACAACCGGAGCTCTTAATCACCCGGCCTCCTTCCTCCCCAGCCTCCCGCCCAGCAGCTGGCTGAGCTGCGGGAGGGGTAGGAGTAGGGGTGGGGGGACCAGTTACTACCTTTTGGGCTGAGACTTCTTTCAGCTTGGGGTCTACCGCGTTCAATTTGCTCCCTCCTTTCACTTGATGGCAGCCTCGTGTGCAGCCCCTGCACCCCGTCCCACGAAGACCTGGACCTCTGTGCTCTGTGCTTGATCCTCCCCTCTCCATCAAAGGTCTCCAAAGCAGGAGAGATGGAGAGAGGGCTCAGAAGCGCACCAAAAGCTCTGGAAGGGGCTAATCTGGGAACTAGACCAATACTTTGGATAAATGCGATAAAGTGAAAGAACATGGTAAGGGTGATGGGGTGGCACAGAAGGGAGGTGTCCTTTCTCCAGCTAGGATGAAAAGAAGGCCTATCTGAGAAGCAGGTTTGCACAGATTTGGGATGACAGCCTTCTGTGCAAAGGCCCTGCAGCCCATGGTGGTGTTCAGGCTTGGCTTGCAGGGATAAAGCCTCCGCCTCCGCCTCCATGATCTCCCCAAGCATCCCTTCCTCGCCCAGGATAAATCCAGTCTTCATTGACCAAATAAATATAGTTTAAATAAGACCAATATGCTTGTATGCAAGCCCAGCTTCTAGACACGTTCCTTGGCTCCCTTTCCAACCACGAGGCTGTCCCTAAACCCCTTCTATATAGGACTTCTGGAACCTTCAATGCTGAGGTCTTTTTCTCTCTTGATCCTCTCATCTCATACACCAGCCAGTTTGGTCTTCTCTTCCTCTCAAACTCCTGTGCACCTGCCCACTTTGCTCTCTCTCCACTGCTGACCCTCCAGCTAACACACCCTCTCTCCTCTGTGCACTTGAGCAGCCTCTGTCTGTCTCCCAGCTCCACTTTTGTCCTCTATGATACATTTTCCGCAGAGGAGACAGAGCAATCTTTATAAAATGAAAATCACATCACGTCACTCCCTTGCTTAAAAGCCTCCAAACACTTTTCATTGCTTTGGAAATGAAACTCAAATTCTCCTGTAAGTAAAAGTAGGGAGGATGGAAGGCTTCACAAGAGATAAATGTCTACGGATTCTCACTGTGTATGGAGGGACCAAACAAAAAAAGTCAGATGACAATGACAACAATAAGGATAATGATACTATATCACTCTGAAGAGTATGAGCTAATTGATTAAATTCGTGTATCTGAGATCCAGGAAAGAGAAAAACTATCCAAACTCCTTATTTTGGTCCACAAAGCCCTACTTGGTCTGTCTCCACCCATGTGGAGACAGACCCATCTTGTCTCCTACCATTCTTCTCCTTTTCAGTGGGCTCCAGCAGAGAAAAGGGGAAGATGGCAAGTCAGTGTGCAATTTCCCAGATCATTCATGCATGCATTCCTTCATTCAACACATGTATTAAATCCCTACCACATGCCAAGTATTGGTTAGATATGGAGACACGGACCTAAATAGGGGCTTACAGTCTAGCAGGGGAGGCAGACAGATTATAAAGAAACCTAAGAAGGGGGCCAGGGGTGGTGGCTCATACCTGTAATCCTAGCACTTTGGGAGGCTAAGGTGGGAGGATTGATTGAGGCCAAGAGTTCGAGACCAGCCTGAGCAACGTAGCAAGATCCCCATCTCTACAAAAAATTAGCTGGGCATGGTGGCACACGTCTGCAGTTCCAGCTACTCAGGAGGCTGAGGCAGGAAGATCACTTGAGCCCAGGAGTTTAAGGTTGCAGTGAGCTATTTTGATGCCACTGTACTCTAGCCAGGGTAACAGAGGGAGCCCCTGTCTCAAAAGAAAAAAGGAAAAAATATATATGTATATATATATGAAGGGTGGTAAGAACCCTGCCCCAGACACTTGAGAAAGGCTGCAGAGCCTTGAGCTCAATCTTCAAGGAGGAGTCCAAGTTTACCAAGCAAAAACCAGGGTCAGAATTCTTGGCTAAGGAGTCTAAGAGAACATGGGCTGATCAGAGGGCAGGGAGAAGTGTGGTGTGGATGGCACCAGGAACATGCTAGGAAATGAGCTTGGAGTGGGAAGGAAGGGTCAGACTATGAATGGACTTGGAAGCCTCATTAGGACTTTGGATTTATCTTTAGGCCACAAGGCTACAGCCAAGATTTTAAAGCAGAGATGTGCATAATCAGATTTGTGCTTTAGAAAGAGCTCTCTGGCAGCAGCATAGATAGATGATAGATTGGAGACAGGACAGACTGGAGTCAGAGAGACCAACTGGTTCCAGAAAGAAATGATGAAGGCCTGAAGTGGGGCTAGGGCAGTGGGAGAGAGGAGAGGTGGGCACATCCAAGGTAAGCCTATCTGGACTTTGGGGCCACAGGATTATGGGAAGAGGAAGTGTGAGAAGAGAAGGGTTGACGTTAACACCCAGACTTGGCTCGGGTGTTTTGGAGGGTGCTGGGGCTACCCGTGAGATGGACAGCAACCTGGAGTGGGGTGGAGAATTCAGCCTGGGTTGTGTTAGGGTGCAGGTACCTGAGGAAGGAGGAGGTGGAGAGGTCTGGCTGAGTTGAAAACACAGTGTGTGGTTGGGAATGAAACATGCCCTGGAGAGAGAGGCCCAGGTGATGCCGAGAGCATGCATCTTGGCAGAGGTCCCCCAGTCTCCCAGGGACTCTGCCGCTCACACCTGCCAGAGGGCTGCTCCTGAACTGGGGGCAGAAGCAGGGAGAGGAGACTCCATAATGGAAACGGCTGGTTGTGCACCTGCAGAAATCAGTGAAGGCTGAGGATAAAAGGAGAAGAGCAGTGCTAGGAACCAGCGAACTTTAAAATTCCCATGGTTTTGCCTGAGAAAACATCTGGCTAACTGCATCCTCACATTTTACAGATGGGGAAACAAAGGCTCAGATGGCTATAACGACCTTGCCCAAACTGCGCCTGCATTCTTCGCACTCTGGCTTGGGGAGGTGAAGTGTAGACTTGCTTTTGATCTATGCACAGTCCGACTATTTCCGCAGAACTGGAGCCCCACCGCCCACCGCCACCAGATGCATGGCAGAGATGGAGACAGCTAGAGTCCAGGGTCAAAGGGGACGTGTTCCAGAATGGCCTGGGGACCTCTGACCGCTCTCCCTTCCCACCTGCTGAATGCTCCCTCATCCCTAGACAGCGCCACCCTGTCGTCCACTCAAGGACACTGGCTCCTCCTAGCGGTCTTAAGGAGCATTGCTTTTGATCCCAGGCGGGCTCGGGGCAGAGTCCCTGGAGTATAGGACCTCAGTTCCCTCCGCCCAATCTCCTAAATGACACATCTCCAGTGCCAGTTATCCATCCCCTGACAGACACCAGCCTCCCCATGTAGGAGACGTTCCCTCTCACCGGAACTGAGCCCCGAGCCCCGCAAGATACTCTCCTCCTCCGGGCCAGACTCCAGGGCCACACCTAGGGTGCTTCCATGGCTTCCGGCGAAGGGGCCAGAGGGTTGAGTCCATCCACATTCCTACTTGTCACATCCAAATGCTTTTTGCCAGGCTGCGAGCTCCTTGGGGGCAAGAACGCTGACGTCACCTTCATTTCCTTAGGGTCTGGCACGGTACCTCGCATATGCTGGGCGTTCAACAAATGTCTGTTGGAACGAAAAGCCCCGTCCCCACTCAAATAACCTGGGAGCTCCAAAATCCCCTCACCCCACCCACATACCCCCAGGACAGGACCACCCACACTCTTTGAACCCTTCAATTTCACTTCATCATTAAGTTCTTCATTTTAAAAAATCCTAGATTACTCTGTGCCACTGGTGCTCGGTCCCTCTGGCCTCAGATGCTTCAGATATAGAAGCATCCCTGAGAACTGCACCCAGTTGTCCGTTGGGGTCCACGCCTAGCCCGCCCTGCCTCCTGGCACCAGCCCCCTGGCATGCCCGTCTCCCTCCCTGCCCTTCCCATCTTGGAGGACAGCGGTAAGAGCCCGCCCTGGGAGGCAGCTACATCAGCACTTCCCAGGGCCCATCTGTTTTCTTCTTCCACATGGTCCTTTGGGAGCTGAAAATTTTTGCTTATTGGACAATCCTGGGGGAGGGGAAGTGATGTGATTTCCACGAGTTTTCCTCCTTTTCATGTGAAGAGTTAGTTGTGTGTGGCACTCAGTGAAATGTTTTATCACTCCTGGCTGTGACTGCATTTCTTTCTTTCTTTTTTCTTTTTGTGAGACAGTCTTGCTCTGTTGCCCAGGCTAGAGTGCCATGGTGCCAGCCTAGCTCACAGCAACTTCAAACTCCTGAGCTTGAGCGATCCTCCCACCTCAGCCTCCCAGAGTGCTAGGATTATAGGTGTGAGCCACTGCACCTGGCCTAGTGACTACATTTCTGAGAGAGCAAGAAGAGAGTCCTGTGTGAGGAGGCCATCTTGCCCTGGGGATGGGCTTGGATGTGATTTTAACAGCAACTAGCATTTACACAACCCTTTGGGTGCTTTTTTATTATCCTTTCTTTTTTTAGAGATGGGGTCTTGCTATGTTGCCCAGGCTGGCCTTGAACTCCTGGTTTCAAGTGATCCTCCTGCCTCAGCCTCCCGAGCATCTAGGACTATTGCCATGCACCACCATGCCCAGCAACCTTGAGATACTTCTGCACACCACTTTGGAACATGAGAGGTGTGCTCATTTTACAAAGTAGGAAACTGAGGCTAAATGTGTTGCTCAAGGTCACACAATTGGCAAGAGTGGTAAAACTGGGATCTAACCCGGGCCTCCTGATTCTCAAGTTCAGTGTCTTTTGTCTACAACAGAAGTACCCACATTACATGACCTATCACCTTTCAGAAAGCTGTTTGGTCAAATTCTCAGGCTTAGCGACCTAGAGAGAATGGATTCAAGGGACGGAGTCACACAAGGTCAATCCTCCCTTCCTCCCCCCTTCCCTTTCCCAGCCCTCCTTTCCTTTCTGCTTTCTATCCAGCAAATGCTGTACTCTACGTCTCGGACATTGGACTCTGAAGGCCAGGAGATCCTGGAAAGCAAGGACCATGCTTTGGTCACTTCTTTCTGAGCATTGCCACCAGCTCTGTGCCAGGCATGGGGCAGCTGGGCAGCAGCTGTGTGGCAGGAAGGAAGGAGCCAACCCACAAATGGCTCATCTACCTCGATCACCGCCAAGGAGGGCCCTGTGGGCTTCGCCACAGCTCAGGGCACTGGGATGGCCAGGACAGTGTCTCCCCACTCTGTGTGTACTGGATGGGGGAGGGCGCATGTTACCGAAGTCCCTGGAGAGCTAGAACCATGAAGGAGGCATGGCCCTGTGAAAGCTGCAGTCATCACTGCCAGAAACACTGCCCAAAGCCAGTGTTTTGGGGAGGAACACCCCAACTTCCCACCAGGGCCTCCCACTGGCCTAACCCACCTGGAAGTAGCTCGCAAGTGAGCCTGGTTCATACAGGCCAAAGGGACTGTCCTCCCAGCTCACAGCACAGGTTGGAAAATACATCTGGGCATTTGGGGTTAAAGCAATAGGAACTGGCACACCCATATACACTTCGTATTCCCAGGGCCTAACGCAGTCTGATACACAGTGGACACTCAGGAAATACTTGTGAAATTAATGCATAGAATGGGGGTAATAATGTCTATCCAATGAAGTGTTAGGAGGATTAAAATAGGAACCATGAATATTTGCCGAATGCCAGAGCTCTACCAGGGAAATTGCACACATGGTTTAAATGGGCTAGCATATGCCTGCACACAGAGGATGTTCATTAAGCGTGTTTCCCTCCCCTTTCCTCGCCTGAATTAATTCCGTTTAATCAAATGCATGCCCGGGAGCATCCCCCTGTGCACGGCATGGTCTAAGCACATGGGACTCCAGGATAAACCAACGTGGTCCTGGCCTCCAGGACTTTGGGGGTGAGTGGCCCAAACAAGCTGAGACACAAGTGACCTGGTGCTAAGGCAACTGGCCCTTCTGTGGGGGAGGCGTGGCACTTCCAAATGTCGCTGCAATAAAGGAGACCAGTGAGAGGAAGAGGATGAGCAGGAGACAGAGTCTGGGCAGCGCCCTTGGTGGGGACCTGAGAGCCATCGTGCAGGACGGCTGGGTAACCAGGGGAAGGGAGCAGCCAGACAGGAAGAGATTTGAGCCTGCACTCATCCAAAGACCATCCGACCAGTCTCCCCAAGCCTCACTGCCCTCGGTCCCTCTGTCCCCCCATCACCACCAGAAGCCCAAGTCTCGGTGGCCGCCCAGCATCTCTGACTCTCAGCCCTCACTCTGCTCTGCACGTCTCCCGTCCGACCCAATCGCCTGTGACCCTGGGCCCCCTCAGCTCGTCCACGGGGCCCTCTGGTGCTCCTGGTCTGTGCTTGGCAAACCCCCTCTGTCTTCACCTCTGCCTGGAACACGCCCTCACTTCCGGGCTGTCCTTTCACTGGGGCACTGGGGGTGGGGCACTGGGGGTGGGGGTAGGGGGGAGTGAGCCTTCTCCTGGCTTCCCCTGTGCTTTTCCTTCTTCCCTTCCTTCCAAATCCCAGATCCTTTGCAGACCCATTTACCTTCCCCTCACCTTGTTACTACCTGTTCTTTGACCCACTTTCCTGAACCTTATTGTCACCAGAAACTATGCCACTCCCGAAATCTCCAATTTCAAATACCTACTTCCTAACCACTGCTCCCTGTCCTTCTGGCTCGCTCGCTTGGGTGCCCTGTGACAGTACAAGCTCCTTGCCACCTCCTGGTCAGGTGCCACTCTCTCAGTCCCTGTAGCCCTTCCTGACTTCACCTTCATGCCCAGCTGAGGTCCTCAGGCCCATCTTTTGCAATCCCCCTATCCGCTCACTCCTCGTCCCCTCTTACTGTTGTCATAACCCACCTGGCAAAGCCCCAACCCAGATCAACCCTACCATATCCATCACCCATGCCCGGCCTGGAGAGCTGGCTGTTGCCAGGAGGGGCGCACGGCTGCCTGGAGTCACTTGGTATTTAGGCTCACACACCTCCCACGGGCTCACCCCTGGCCAGCAATCCTGCTGTGCTTCTCTGGTAGTCTGGCTTTCCCTTCATCGCCTGCTTTCTCCTCTTTCTTCAGCCTCCCACTCCCCTCCTCTCCCTCCTCTCAGCTGACAGGACTCTGCCATTCCCCACCACCAAGCCCTCCTGCCTTTGCACAACCTCTTCCTCCTCCTGTCCTCTGGCAAGGGCCAGTGCCTCCACTTTTGCTCTGAAGCCAACACCTCTCGCCTTTCCAAAGACTGCTCCTTCAGTGAGCCCTGGCTTTCCTGAATAAGCCTTCTCCACACCGGGTAAGTCCTATCGGTCAGCAAACAGGATCTAGTATCTCCCCTGGGGTGGGGGGACCTCCCCTTTCTCACATCACCCTCCAGCTCCTACCTCATGCTCTTCTCCCTTGCTCAAAAGAATTGTTGACACCTTCATTTCTACTTCCTCAGTTCCCATCCTATTTTTCTTCCCTCATGCTTATAAAGAATATTTAATGACAAGAAAACTCTCCTAGGAGAATGTAAAGTGAGAAAAGGCAGGAAGTAAAACTGCACATTTGGTCTGATCCCAATTACTGATACACTGAAAATGAAGCAAAGACACCAAGGTTCTAGCAGTGATTATTTCTAGAGGTTAGGTTATTTGTATTTTTTATAATCTGAGAAAATAAATATTATATAAAAGAGGATAAATCTCTCTTTAGCTAACAGTCTTTCATTTATATAATATCTAAAAGAATATTTATATAATACCTAAAAAGAATATGTGTTTTCTCATATTGCCTAATTATCATGGCCTTGGTCCTCTATAATTAATCTATAAATACTGTAATTAATTTGATACACATATATATTATGGAATTACTACCCCAATCCAATTAGTTAACATACTCTGTAATTATTTTTAGAAGTTCAGGGAGACAATTTTTATCATCACATATTCTTTTATTTCTTTTCTTACAGAGAATAGGATTCTGTTTTATATAAAGTTCTGTTATATGTTCTTGTGTCTGCTTTCTCCTTTTTTTTTGAGACAAGGTCTCACTTTGTCACCTGGGCTAGAGTGCAGTGGCATCATCATAGCTCACTGCAACGTCAGATTTCTGGGCTCAAGCAAGCCTCCTAGCTTAGCCTTTCAAGTAGCTGGGACTACAGGCATGCACCACCATGCCCAGCTAATTTTTGTATTTTTTGTAGAAATGAGGTCTCACTATGTTGTTCAGGCTGGTCTTGAACTCCTAGCTTCAAGAGATCCTCCTGCCTCAGCCTCCCAAAGTGCTAGGATTATAGGCATGAGCCACTGCACCTGGCCTGCTTTCTTCCTTATATCATCTTTCTTTCTTCTTCTTTTAATTTTTAGTTTTTATCAAAGATATATATAGGCCGGGCATGGTGGCTCACACCTGTAATCCTAGCACTCTGGGAGGCCCAAGCAGGTGGATCCTTCAAGGTCAGGAGTTCGAAACAGCCTGAGGGAGACCCTGCCTCTACTAAAAATAGAAAGAAACTAATTGACCAACTAAAAATATACATACAAAAAATTAGCCAGGCATGGTGGTGCATGCCTGTAGTCCCAGCTACTCAGGAGGCTGAGGCAGTAGGATTGCTTGAGCCCAGGAGATTGAGGTTGTTGTGAGCTAG